AAAAGATTTGTGGTCCTTACGCAAAATGTAGTGAAGGTCCACCCAGATAAAAGAGCATTAAATTGGAGTCCGGGGATAGAGTTTTCTTTTTGGAAACAGCTTAGTTGAGATATAATTCACGTATCATACAGTTCACCCATTATAAGCAGTGGTCCTCAACATTTTTGGCACCAGGGACTGGTTTCATAGATGACAATTTTTCCATGGACTGGGGCAGGAGTGGGAGGGTGGTTTCAGGATGATTCAAGTGCATTACATTTATTGTGCACTTTATTTCTATTTTATTATTACATTGTAATATATAATGAAATAATTATACAACTCACCATAATGCAGAATCAGTGGGAGCTTTGAGCTTGTTTTCCTGCAACTAATGCCCCCGCTGATCTGACGGGAGACATAGCTGAGGTGGTGATGCAAGCAGTGGGGAGCGGCTGTGAATACAGGGGAAGCTTCACTCACCACCACTCACCTCCTGCTGTGTGGCCTGGTTCCTAGTAGGTGAGGGGCTGGTACCGGTCTGTGGCCCAGGGGTTGGGGACCACAGATTTAAAGGGTATAGTTCAGTGGTTTTTAGTATATTCAGAAGGTTTTCCAACCATCATAACTAATTGCAGAACATTTTTATCACCTCTGAAAAAGGCCTCACGTCTGTTAAATGATCAGCCCCCCTCTTCACCTTCTTCCCTCCAGCCCCTGGCAACCAATAATCAACTTTCTGTCTCAATAGATTTGCCTGTTCTGTATATTTCATATAAATGCTGTCACACAGTATGTGGATTTTGTGTCTGATTTCTTTTATGTAGCATAACGTTTTTAAGGTTTGGCCATGTTGTAGCATGCATCGGTTCTTCTGTGCTTATTATGATTGAATAGCACTCTATTGTATGCCACATTTTCTTTATTCATTCATCAGTTGATGTATGTTTGGGTTGTTACTGTTTTTGGGCTATTATGAATAATACTGCTGTGAGTATTTGTATATAAGTTTTTGGGTGGACAAAATGTTTTCATTTCTCTTGGGTCCATAACTAAGAATGGAACTGAAGTTTAAGTTTTAGAGAAACTGCCAAACTGCCAGTTTTCTGCAGTGGCTGCACAACTGCACATTCCCGCCACAAACGGTTGAGGGTTCTAGTTTCTTCATGTCTGTGACGACGCTTGTTTGTTCGCATATTGTGATTATATAATAGCTACCCTGATGGGTGCGAGATGCTATCACATTGTGGGCTTGACTTGTGTCTCCCTGATTGCTCATGTTGAGCATCTTTCTATGTGCTTGTTGGTCACTGGGAGACATGTCTATTCAGATCTTTTGCCCATTTAAAAAATGAGTTGTTTATGTGTTTTTTACTACTGAGTTGTATGCATTCTTTATATATTCTGGATACAAGCACCTTATGAGACATGTGATGTGCAAATATTCCCCCCCTCATTCTCTGGGCTGCCTTTCACTTTTTGATGGTATCCTTTGATGCACAAAATTTTTTAATTCTGGTGAAATCCAATTTATCTTTTTTCTTCTGTCACACGTGCTTTGGATGTCATATTTAACAAGGATTTCCCTAACCAGAGGTCACAAAGATTTACTTCCATGTCTTCTTCTAAGAGTTTTATACTTTTAGCTCTTACATTTAGGTAGATTTTTGGGGGGAGGGGGTGTTATGTGTCCATTTTGTATTCTGTGTGGGATAGGAGTACAAATTCATCTTTTTGCATGTGAATATGCAGTTGACTCAGCATCATTTGTTGAAAAGTTTATTTCTTTTCCATTGAATTTTCTAGACATCCTTGTCAAAAGTCAATTGACTGTGAAGGTAAGGCCTTATTTCTGGGCTCTCAGTTCTATTCCATTGATCTATAATGTCCATCCTTACATTAGTATCACATGGTCTCGATTATTGTAGTTTTTTTTGTTTTTTTTTTTTTTGAGACAGAGTCTCGCTCTGTTGCCAGAGCTAGAGTGCCATGGTGTCAACCTAGCTCGCAGCAACCTCAAACTCCTGGGCTCAAGCAATCCTCCTGCCTCAGCCTCCCAAGTAGCTGGGACTACAGGCATGTGCCACCATGCCTGGCTAATTTTTTATATATATATACAATTATATATATGTTTATTTATTTTTTAGTTGTCCAGCTAATTTCTTTCTATTTTTTTAGTAGAGACGTGGGGTCTGGCTCTTGCTCAGGCTGATCTCGAACTCCTGAGCTCAAATGATCTGCTCGCCTCGGCCGTGAGCCACCACGCTGGGCCAATTACTGTAGTTTTGCAAGTAAGTCTTGAACTTGGGAAATTTGAATCCTCCAAACTTTCTTCTTTTTTTTTTTTAAAGACTGATCAGGTGAAGCAGTGGGAGTGGAGAAGGAACAAAGGAGTCTGTAACTGGTTGTGATGAATTAGTTGTAAACAGCACTGCACTCGGACCAATGTTATTCTTCATGCTTAAGATTGTTATGGCTGTGCCAGGTCCCTTGACATTCCATATGGATTTTTGAATCAGGTTGTCTCTCCCCTCCCTCCCTCCCCCTCCCTCCTTCCCTTCCTCCTTCCTCCTTCCTTCCTTCCCTGCCCTCCCTCCCTTGCCTTCCTTCCTTCCTTCTTTCCTTTCTCAGAGTCTCACTCTGTTACCCTGGCAAGAGTGCTGTGGCATCAGCCTAGCTCACAGCAACCATCCTTCTGCCTCAAGCCTCCTGAGTAGCTGGGACTACAGGCATGAGCCACCATGCCCGGCTAATTTTTTCTATATATTTTTAGTTTGCCAATTAATTTCTATTTTTAATAGAGACGGGGGGAGGGGTGTCTCACTCTTGCTCAGGCTGGGTTTGAACTCCTGACCTTGAGCGATCCACCTGCCTCAGCCTCCCAGAGTGCTAGGATTACAGGCGTGAGCCACCATGCGAGGCAGCCTATTTTTTAAATAGTCTGACTATGATGTTTTTAGGTGCATATCTTTTTTGTTTGTTTGTTTATCTTGTTTGGTTCTTCTTCTTTTTTTTTTTTTTTTTTGAGTTTTTGGACCTATGGATTAATGTTTTTCATCAAACTTGAGAAATTTTTGGCCTGTATTTCTTCAAGTATATTTTCTTGCCGTTTTATCTCTCTCTTCTTCTATTACTCCCTTTATGCATTTGTTGGTACATTTGATGTTACCATGATTTCCAGGGCCTCTGTTCTTTTTTATTTTTCAGTCTTTTTTCTCCATATGTTCTTCAGGTTGAATAATTTCTGTTGATTTTTCTTCAGGTTCACTGATTCTTTCTTCTGCCCTCTCAAATCTACTCAATTTTCATTTCAGATATTGTATTTTTCAGCTACCAGGTTGTCATTTGGTTCTTCCGTCTATTTGGTACCTCTCTAATAAGATTCTTTGTTCATTGAATCATTAGCATCAGTTTTCTCAAATACTATAAATACACTTCCTTTTATTTTTTAACATGTTTATGAAGTGTTTGCTAAATATAAAATCTAGAGATACTCAGGCAGTTTGTCTTGAATGCTTTTCCTCCTTAGTGAATTATTTTGAAATCACACATCAACCAAAGCAATTCAGTAAGAGTGGACTTAGAGAAGACTTATAAACTTTTCAAAGCTATCTATTCAAAGCTATCGGAATGCCAGAATTTCACCTTTTTATCTATATGTTATTATTTTAGTGAGTGACATTTTATTTTTAGATATTTTTATATTTCTTTATATTCATTTTATAGTAAATACTGAGTTATTTCAATCCAGCCAGTTGCAAGCATATTTCTTACTGTAGGTGCCTAACATTTTAATGTAATATGTTGGAATATAGATGATCTTTGGATGGAAAAAAATAATACCCAGTTGTGGACATGAAGATTTGGAGAATTGATACCTTTGAAACGAGGATTTTATTTCTATGCATATTCCTTTCTGTCCCCATTTTGTCACAGATGAATTCCTATTTTAGTCAGGAATATGATATTTCCTCCTCTTTCACAACAGAAACTTAAGTGAGTTATATATAAGTGCTATGTTGTTTTCTGAACTATTTCAGTCTTGTATTAGCATGACAATATAACAAGTAGCCAAAGTAAAGACGGTAAAGGTAGTAAAGACAGATTTTATTTGGTACCGTTGCAACATCGAAGAGCAGCTTCAGTAAAACTGAGCTCAACTTTCAATACAGCAAGACAGCTGGGGATTTATAGCCAACAAGCAGAGGAGTGGTTCAGTGAGTAGAAAATTACTAAGAGCAGATATCAAGGGTTGGAGGATTCTTGCTAAATGCAGGCCAAGTACTTAAGACATCCAGGATGGTGAATGAGAAATTTGATCTGAAATCAAGAGTGGGAGACTCAGGATTTTTACTAAAACTGGGCTTGGCAGGCCCAGGATTAGGCCTAGCCAAAAAAGAGGGCTCCAGGAGACCGTCTAGAGTTTGGCTAAGGAGAGTGTCTTTGACACAGCAAAAGGAAAAGGCAAAGGAAATTATCAGTTATTTTTAGAAAATCAAATATTACAATCTAAGCTACTATACTGACTTGTACTTCAAGTTCTAAAGTGGCAGATCCAATTGATATTACCAGAACACAGGCCACACGTTTGATGGAGATTTTGTTCACATTCTACAGTGATAATTCTGAAGCACGCAGAGAGCAGCCGGAGCCTGAAATAGGGGACACGGTGCCATAGCTACCATAAATGGAGGGCCCGCCAGGTATCTGTTACCTTACTACTTTGTCTCCTCATTGCAGGGGGTTCTCTGGGTTCCCCTTATTTATGAGGAAAGTGAGGCTCAGCCAAGGCTGTCTCCCTTCTCCCTCCCCATGACGAGCCCTAAAGAGCTTCTCTAGGCCAGCCGGGGTAACGTAGCTGCGCAGGTCGGCGTCAAACCCCGCAACCCCAAGACGGCAGCCCCCACGCGGGGCGCACGGCCGACTTGCCGCCAGGACAGCCTCGCCCGCGCGTGGCCCGCGCCTGCGCACTCCGCGCCCGCCCGCGCCCTTGTGGGAAATGTAGTCCGGTGTCCTGGGCTTCAGGCGCCCGGCAGCGTCCGCCGCGGGCAGCGCCCGCTCCCGCCAGAGAGGGTGAGTGCGGGGCCCACGGCGGAGACTCACGGTGTGGGCCTCGGAGGCCGTCACAGGAGGAGCCCAGGACTGCGGGTTGAGGCCCCTTCGGTCTGAGGGGCAGGGCCGGCCTCTCTGCTCCCGCGGGGCGCCGGGCACCGAGCTCCAGGAGCGCCCCTGGTCGGCCCCGAGCCAGGCCGCGGTGAGGACGCCGAGAGCTGAGACCGTCCCCGACGCGGTCCTCCCAGCTGCCCAGAGGGCGCCGAGGCCGAGTCACAGCTCGGAGCGGCGAGGGCCGGGGACTTGGGGCGGCGGCCCCGGGCCCGAGGGGTCCGTGAGGGGCCGAAGGGACCCTGGGCTCCTCCCCGTGGTCCCCCAGGCCGCGCACCCCTGTCCCGGGACGTGCCGCCAGCGGTCGGCGGTCTCCGCCCCGCCGCCTGGTTTTCGATGCGGTGCGACGCTGGCGCGGGCTACCCGTCTCTCCGCAAGAATGGGCAGGCCGGCCCCGTGCAGATTTCTACTTAAGGAAAGTGTTTTTTGTGAGCAATTTCTTTCATTTAAAAGTTCAGTATAGGTCAGCTAGAAAACTCATAAGCAAAATCATTCTAAGTCTGCATGTCGGCGTGTATATATGTATAAACATAGAAGTACTTTTTTGACAGAAACATAAACAGTAGTATCCTTTTCTCCATTTACCTTTTAAAATTCAGTCATGAAATGCATTTGGTAAGGTATTTGAATTGCACAAATCTTAAGCTCCATAATTTTTAAGCGGTGGGACCTCCATCCAAGGAAGACAGAAAGTAAACTTTTTAAAAAAAAATTAGTATGTGGAAACCATCTACTTATACCAAGTTTTAAAAACAGCTATGTCATTTTAACAAGTGAGGGAAAGTATGACTGTGCCATATTTAATCATCTTGTGTACTCTTGGGTTTTTATTTTCAGTATTATAAACAATATAGGCTATCTGGCTATATGCATTTTTGCATTCTTGTCTCATTCTATAAATCTCTTAAAGTGAAATTTCTGGGTCAAGGGTACAGCAAGGCTTTTGATACCTCCTGTCTTACTCCTCCCAGAAAAGTAGCAGTTTATATAGACACTTGCAGTGTAAGAGTGCCAGATTGATCCACCTCCCACACCAACTTTTGAGTTTTAGTGTTGTCTTGAACTTTCTGAGAGGTGCAAATGATAGGGTTGTTGAAATTTGCATTTTGAACACTAATGAATATTTTCACGCAGCTTGCATTTTGTTTTTTAATTTTGTATCTGGTACACAAACATATGTTTCCTGATCATGCAGAAATGTTACATGTTGATATGGTCAGACATGAAAACCTTATCTTCATGTTTGGGTCTTTGACATTGTTGTTAGGAGGCCTTCTGTTCTATGAAATCATAAAAATATTCATCTGTAGCTTCTCCTAGTACTTTATATGTAAATTTTTATTCTTTTCCAAATGGTAAGCCTTTGTTATAAATTATTCAATCATTCATCCTTTTTTCACTGATGTGAAGTGTCATTTTTTTATACCCTGAATTGTTATATGTAAATTTTCTCTTGAATCATTTATGTAGGTAGAATTTTAATTTGTTCCATCTCTCCTTTTCCCTGTTGGACTATAAAATCCATGAGGGCAGTTTTATCTGTTTTATTTACAGCTATACCCTCACCCATTGGAATGGTGCCTGATACACAGTAGATAGTCAACAATATATCTGGTGAATAAGTGATTCTGCCTATGCAGTAACATTATGTTCTAATTAATGTAGGTTTATAAATTTTGGTGGGCAAGTTCTCTCTTATCAGTATTCTTTAAAAAAAATCCCTGGCTACTGGAGGACACATTAACTTTGACAAATTTTTTCCATAACTAACTTTAAAGAATTCTTAGGTGTGACTTGGTGGTGGTTCACGCCTATAATCCAAGCACTTTGGGAGGCCAAGGCAGGAGGGTTGTTTGAGGCCAGGAGTTTGAGACCAGCCTTGGCAACATAACAAGACCCCATCTCTACAAAAAATTAAAAAATTAGCCAGGCATGATGGCATGTGCCTGTAGTCCCAGCCCCTGGGGAGGCTGAGGCAAGATAATCACTTCAGCCTAGGAGTTCCTTGCTGCAGTGAGCCATGATTGTGCCATTGCATTCACTTCAGCCTGGGGGACAGAGCAATACCCTTTCTTTTAAAAGAAAAGTGATACCATAGAATATTGAGACATCTAAGAATATGGCATGTCTCTCTGTTCATCTTTAAATAAGCCTAATAAATACCCTTAATAAGTAAAAATTGTAGTTTTCTTTATGTAGATGCCATACATGTCTTTTTTAGTTTATTTGTAGGCATATTTTCGCTCTTGCAGGAGTCTTTTTTTTGCATGCTAAGTATACAGAAGACACTCAGTTGATACTATAAGCATGAGGAACTGATGGTTCACAATGTATCTTGGAAGCCTGACTCTGTCAGTACATCAAGGGCTTTTTTCTTCCCTTATATGGGTATACCCTAGTTTATTTAACCAGTCTCTAATGGGCATTAGCCTAGACTTTTGGTGTCGGTCAGCGACAGACATTTCTTCACTTTTACTGCTGCTTCTCTGAATTACTGATTGATCACTTGGAGCTGTACAGCAGATAATGGTGAATGAGTGACTAAAATGTTGAAAAATAAAACATAATTGTTAAATAGATATTATAAGCTGTAAACTGAATGGAATTATGAAGCATAGTAATAGATTTGGCACATATCAATGCAGCATTAAAGCCATTTTCCTTTCTCATCTTTTTTCATAGTTTTATTTTTCTTTAATGGGCAGTAATGTGACATGAATTGCCCAAGTATGACTTTTATTTGCCTTTAAATTTCATCATATTTTTCTGACTATAAATATTAGGTATATTGCCTAATCATATCTTATAGCCTTTTTAAAAATGTATATTTTAAGAAAAGATATTATTTAGACCACTGTAATTAGTCCCGTAAGAACAATATATACCATGTTTCTTTAAAAGGGTCAATTTCCTTTCAAATACAAGAACTATATAAAGCAATACTGTAAATGCAAAGCAGTGGTCACATTACGTATCTGCAGGCTTAATCATTGCAAATAATATATTTTTTAATCTTATGGCTAGCTATTTTCTCTGAAACACAGTGTTAGCACTTAGACAAGATATAGCTGGAACAGAACAAAAACTTTTTTGTTCATGCTAATTTTAAGTTTGAATCTGTGATATGTCCTATTTTAAAATGTATCGCCTCTAATTGCTTTTACGACAGTAGTTTTAGGCAGAAGAGCTTCTACTTAGCCACCAAAAGTAGACAACTCTTGTTTCTTAGTTTTATTCTTCAGTCTTATGTTCTCTGTTTTTCATGGTAGGACACAGCTATAATAGGACTGATGTTTTACAGTTTTACTTAAAAACACTTAAACACATGCAGACAGACCAAACTAATACAGCTCAGAATTTAGAAATACAACTAGTAAAGGACCAAAGAGAAATTGTGTCTATGACAAAGGAATAAAAAAAGTCTTGATAATTTTAAGCATATCAGACTCAGTTCTTTATTCAAAAACTCTTCTTCTTCTTTTTTTTTTTTTTTTGTTTTAAAGGGAGAAACACTAGTTGCTACATGGGTTTGGTCTTAGATTTAGTCAGACAATAAAATAATGAGACAAAAGCACAAGACTTGTTCCAAAGTCACAAAATGACATTGTTGTGTCTACATTTTTCTCCACTTTTTTTGTGTGTATGTGGAAAAAATACCTTAGCATTCAATACTAGAGAAAATATTTTTCGCTAGTAACAAAATATTTATATAGGGGAATATTGTTATGATCTTCAAAAAATATTAAATTTACAAAAACCTGGAAGACCAAGTGTAAGCAATCTGGTGTTTGCTTCAATGTCTAATACCATCATAATTATCTCTAGCATAAAGGCAAGAAGCTATGGATCTCAAGTATCTTCAATAACTGACAGTATAACTTGTACGACTGTCCTTACTTGTTCAAGAGATACCTTTCCCAATATTTGCGATTTAGCTCCAAAAAGTCATCAAATTTTACTATTCCCTTGAGTGCTGAGTTAATTTGAAAAATTCTTTGACTTTATCTCGATTTAGGTGTGCTTTTATAAAAGGCTTTATCTTTAGTCCAATCTGTGGGTTCATTAGAAAATTTCTTTCCATGTCATCAAAAATAATGGTGTGTTTTTTGCCAAAAAACTCCAAAAACCTTCCCCATATAACACTAAGAGGTTTTATGTCTATTAATCCTCTCCTTGAAATATGTGCTTATTGCAGTAGCACTGTCCAACATGAAAGTAATTTTACAATTTGCATTTGTGCTCACTCCCAGCTCTTTCATTTTAGCTTCAATCCACTTCATATTTGTTGCAGACCAAATAAGAATGTCAAAGTCCTCATATGCAGATGTTAGGAATTCATGAAGATATGGCCATATTAAGTCTACCTCAGTCTCTGCACAAGACCTGCAGTCTAATAGTGTATAATCGATATCTGCTACCAATAGCTTTTTCCCTTCCTTGGCATGATTCGAAATGTCCACTTTGTACTCTTTTACTCTGCAAGAAATTTTCAGTAGGTTTTCTTCCCTATTTTCTACTTCAACTACTTCATTTTCAATATCAAAGTCATTGACAACATCATCATTGTCAGGGGGTGGATCTAAGACATCCTCCTTTAACTTCGAGTCAGGTAACTTTTGACATTATGCCAGCACTCCTGTAAGGCTCTTGTGAAACTGAGATCTAACACAGTTTCCTTTTCTGAAAGGGTGGTCATTGAATATTCGTGTCTGCCTCATTTTATGAAGATAGGGAGAGCCATTCTTGAAACATATGCATGCGGAAGCAGCTTTACTTTAGAAAAAATTATCTGGAATAAGGCAAGACCAAGGTAGTGGATGCAGAAACTGGCCACAGTGGAACCAAAGGTGACCAGAAACCCTTTTTTAAAAATTTAAAGGCTATGAGATATAATTCCAGGTCTCCAACCCTCAAAAACAACTATGTGTATATTCTTCCAGCCTTTTAAAATACCTATATACATCCTTTGTCCATTTTTATATTGGGTTATTTATGTATAAAAGAGGCATTTTATATAATGTGGACAGTATTCCTTTGCCATGAGTTGCCAATATTGTTCTTCATCATTTTTCTTTTAAATTTTTATAAGATCTTCTACCATAAATTTTGAGGTTTTATGCAGTTAAATTTATTTTTCTTTTGTTTGGTTTTAGGGTCATGCTATGAAAGGCTTTCTGTACCCCAAGAATATAGATAATATAATATATACAAAAATATTTTTCTATGTTTTCTATTAGTTTTATAATTTTAAATTTACGTCCTTAAGCTATCTGGAATTTACCATATGTGATGTAAGGTAGGAATTTAACTTCATTTAACATGACATGGTGAGGCATTTCATCCATCCATCTGTTCATTAAACAGATATTTAGCACCTGCCTACCATGTGCTGAGTAGTGTTCTGGTTACTGGGAATATAGCAGTGAATAAGGCAAGTTCCCTTTCTCTTAGATCTTATTTTATAGAAGGGGAGGCAGACAACAAAGAGGAAATAATGCTGCAGATAGTGTTATGTGCTGTGATGAGCACACAGCAGGGCAGTATGGTAGAATGTGACTAGGGGTCTGTTTTAGCAAGGCAGAGCAGAATGGCCCCTCTGAGGAGATGGCATTGGAGCTGATGTCATCTATTGAATAATCTGTTCATTCTCCATAGATTTGAAATGTGACCTTTAAAATATACCAATTTCCAAATTAGCCGAGCACAGTGGCACATGCCTGTAGTCCCAGCTACTCGGGAGGCTGAGGCAGGAGGATCACTTGAGCCCAGGAGTTTGAGGTTGCTGTGAGCTAGGCTGACACCATGGCACCCTAGCCTGGGCAACAGAGTGAGACTCTGTCTCTAAATAAATAAATAAATAAATAAATAAATAAATAAAATGCCTTTTTGTAGTTTTCTAAATCAGTATATCACAAGCCTGTGGCTGGCACAGTACATTTCATAATAGAGGTAAGCTGTGTGGCACACTTGGCTCTTACCTTAAGGTGGTGAGAATTTAAAGAAGTAAGGAAGACCAGCACATAGCAGTCTGAATTTGGACTTTTTATTTTGCCTAAGTATATTCAGCTAACAAGGTAATTTATTGAAATAAGTGGATTATTTTAGAAAGGGAATCTCATATTTCTGATTTGATACCATCTTTCACCAAAATAGGGCTTATGTTTTGTTTCACATATTTCTACCTTATGTGATGTTTATATGTTATTCTCCCTGCTTTCTTTCTTCTTCTTTAACATTCACCTTATCTTATGTAATTCTCTGCTTTCTTTTTATTTGCATTTGCCTGCCATATCTTGTCTCTACCTCCCTCTTTTTTTATTTTTAAATTTTTGGTTTCTGTTGTAGATGTATCTTTTATAGGTACCATATAGCTGGATTTTGAACCAATTTTAGAGTTTTTGTCTTTTAATAGAGAAAGTGTAGCCATTTGCATTTGTTGTTATACATGTATTAGGTCTTTTTCTAGTTATTTGATTACGGTTATTATACTGTCTTGTTATCTTCCTTTTCTTTACATTTGTTGAACTGATGGTTTTTCTTGGTTCCTTTTTTCCTTTGATAAAATGGAAATTCTGCCATGTATTTCTATGCTTTCTGAGGGTTGCTAGGGTTCTTTTCTTAGCCTTCTTCTCATATCACGTTATAGGGAGTTGGATGTCCTTGGGTTCAAGTCCCAGCTGTGTGATCTTGGATAAGTTATTTGACCTTGTTGGTCCTCAGATTCCTTATCTATAAAATGATGATATTAGTGCTATCAGTGTAGCAGGTTGTTGTGGGGATTCAATGAGGTGAGGTGTGTGAATCTCCTATTAGTGTAAAAGTTGGTACAAATGTGAGTTATTTATGGAAACTGCCACTCAGTTATGTGTTCCATCCTTAAATGAATATTAAATGCTTACAGTGTTTTAGTTTCTATGCTAAATGCGTCCTCAAACTAAGGCCCGCGGGCTGCCTAGCACATTTATCTGGCCCTCTGAGTATGTTTGCCGCTGCTGCCTGTCCTCCTTAGCAGCTGACTCGTCCCAGGCCCACAGTGCGCACTCTCCAACGGTCTGAGGGACAGTGAACTGGCCCCCTGTTTAAAAAGTTTGAGGACCCCTAGACTAGAGCATAAGGCTCCAATGGACTTTAAGATTTGAAATGCCATTTTCAAGTCAAGCTGGATTTTTTATTGGTCATCTCATAGACCAACCACATTCTAGATTTTTCCTGTTTACACACGCTTTTCTCCAGCAACTGGAATTCTTACTTGTATTGTAAAGCCATGTGCTCCCACGATATATTTGAGCCTTATAGGACTATGAGTTAGACTATAAGACCTGGCTGTGAGCTCCCCTGCTCTCACCAGATATGGCTCCTCCCAGCAGGAAAGCTTTCTGCCCAGCTAGCTCCCGTCAGCCAGGCCAAGTACACTCTGCCCAGTCCTCAACCTGATGGTTTTATCTCCTTACCAGCCTGCAGATTAATCAAACAAGCCAGTTATATCCTCCCATGGTAACCAAAGGTCACCTCACCCTCTTGTCACTACAAAGCCTGCCTCTCACAGTCCTGCTGGTTCACCATGTTCCTGAGTGTAACCCCCATGTGACCCTGCATGGCACGTGGCATCTTCCTCCCCCAGGCTGTGAGTATATGTGACTAATGAATTGCTGTTGACCCCATCTGTGCAGTGTCAGATGTCATGTGTTTGGTCATCTTGTACTATTTAAAGCAAAGATCCCCTCCTTTGCCAGTGGGGTTAACAGGCGGTGGTCAGAACAGCCTGTCCTCTTCTCCAGTGGGGTCTAGGGCAGGCTTCAGTACCTTCCTGTGTCATCTGTGTTATGCCAGCTCCTCCAGTCCTTAACTCCCAAAGTACTTTTTATATGTATCTCTGATTATCTCACAATATTGTCTATTTTGGTTGCATATGTTTTATTTGGAGGATAGCATGTTTTTCTCATACAGATATCTGTATCCTATCCCTTCTCCTAGTGCTGCTGAATTTTTCACTTCTCTCAGAGGGTCTGTTTGCATAATCCTTAGGTGAAGAAGAATTTTTAGTTTCAGGAGTCAGTGACATTCAAGGATGTGTCTGTGGATTTCCCCTGGGAGGAGTGGATTCAACTAGACTCTGCCCAGAGGAACTTGTGTGGGAAAGTGATGCTGGAGAACTACAGCAGCTGGGTCTCACTGGGTAAGGCCTCCTCCTTGAAATTCAAAACCTGCCTCTTGGCACCATTCCTTCCTCAATCCTGTATAGCCTCTGAAATTCATGGATTTGGACTTAAAATCCTTGCTCTTACAGGACATTGTGTTAGGGTATTTGCTTGGTGTAGCCTCTTTAGAGGTGAAAGGTCTTTTCTGTAGAGTATGGAAAATAGGGCACTTCATAAGCCACACCTTCCTTTGTTTCAGAAGCTCTGAAAGGGAGAGGATCAGAAGTGTGCTGGGACTGGTTTTTAGACTCAGTTCAGAACCCAAATTTAGTGTCTTTCCTCCCAAGCAGGAAATCAACTTTCCAAACCAAATGTGATTTCCCAGGTGGAACAAGAAGTGAGCCTGATAAAAAAAGAACTCCCCAGTGTGTCTTTCCAGGTAAGTGTCAGGCTGCACAGACATGCTACATGAGTGTGTCTCACTGAGGAGAAATCACTCCAGAGATTCTTGGTCTCTGGAGAGACTAGAGCCATTTGACATGTATTCTCAGAAGATACCTCTGCATTACTGGTGGGACTCATTTCCCTAGAGCTCACATATGTCCTACCTTGGAGGGAGGTAATATTAATACATTATGAGCATTAAATGGGCTACAACATTTGTAGCACTTACCATTGCCTGGAATATCCTGAGCATTCAGTAAATGTTAGCAATTACTATGTCCTCTTCATCATCTTCATCTGTACTTTGAATTGAATCTTTGTCTTTTTTATTATTATTTTTTAGCATCACTCTATTATCAAATTAATTCCCATGTTCTTCTGTCTTCTTTGGGCCTTTACTTGCTTTCATGAGTATGTCTTCTCAGGCATAACCTATATCCATAGCTTTCTTTTTCTTTATTCACAGTAAGCTTTCTAAAGAATAGGATTCTAGGAGAGAGGAATCACTGAGTTGAAGGTAATATACATTTTTATGGCTCTTATCAGATATTGTACAATGTTGGGTACTATTTTATGTTTTCAATGCTAATTTATTTGGTAGAAAATGATGCTGTACAGTAGCTTAAATTGCTTTTATTATAGATTTTTATGGATTTGATTGCTATTAATATTTGTATTTGTTCTTATGTAAATAACCTATTCAGTAAGTATTTATTGATTATTGTTCCTAGCACTGGGAATATAGCAATAAGAAAAACAGGCAAAGTTTTTTTGAGGAGGTTATATTCTAATGAGGGAGACAATAAGTTAAGAAAGAAAGAAGGAAGGGAGAGAGGGAGGGAGAAGGGGAGGGGCAGGAGGGAGGAAGGTAGGAAATGAATGTAATACAGTGATGGGTGGTGTGTGGAAAAACAAAGCAGCATAAGGGAACTAGATTAGGAAAGGGCTGCAGTTTTATAGGGGTGGTCAGGGAAGGCCTCTCCTTTAAGGTGACTTTTGAACAGGTACTCAAAGTGATGGTCCACAAGGGAGAACATCCCAGCCAGAGGGAACAGCAAAGGCTCAGAAGTGGGAGAGTGCATGGCATCGTTTGAGGGGGACGGTGCTAAGAGGTATAGGGATTTCTTTAAACTTTGTCTTTCAATCCTTCTGTGAAAAAAAATCTATTTCTATTATCACATGTTTTGTTTCTGTGAGCCACCTTCTCATTCTCCAACTATTCTTTTTTAAGAGCAATCTTTTTTTATGCATGCATTAACTTCTCTTATTTGCATAAAGATATTTAATTTTTTTGTTATTTTTTGGTGTGTATACACAGCATTTTTTTTTCTTGCTCTGTAGATTATTTTAGGAGGTTTATTCCATTTTCCTCACCCATTGTCATTATAGTGAGTGGGTTTTCTGGAAGCAGCAGAGGCAAACATACATCTTTTTGAGATTACATTTTCCTCTCCCATTTCTTTACCCCCGAGATTTCTCCATCAGGTTGTGTTGTAAAGATTTTTCTCCTGTCTTTGATTGCATTTCACACTGTATTTTATTGTCACTTTGAATGTCTGTCTAGCTACTAGCATGCTGACTCACCGAATAGTCATTATTGAACATACTTTTTTTAATATCCCCTGCCTACCACATTGCCTGTCAGAGTAAGTAGTTAATATATGTTTGTTGAGTGACATTGAATGATGTCAAGTAGAATTTTTAGAAATCAGGTGAAAATATAGATTTGACAGTTGTAATGCCATTTGTGAAATTCCTGTCAGTGTAGATCAGATAATCATCAGGAAGAGTGAATGAGAAGGGCAAGCAGTGAAGATGGAACCCTGAGGACAGTGATATGTGGCTGGGGGCCAAAGATGCTCTAGCAAAGGTGACAGAAAGGGTAGTCAGAGGAGAAGGAGAGGGCTTAGGGGAGAGCAGGGTCAAGCGGAGAGAGAAACACAGAGGGAGAGTGCAGCAGTGTCTAGTAAGAAATGAAAACTGCTGGTGGGACTTAGGGCCTGTGACCCACGGAAGAGCTCTTTCAGGGCTGAGGGGAATGTGCTGTGGGCAGAAAAGTAAAGGAAAAGCAAACAAATCAAGACTTTTAAGTACTAACTGTTGGTTCAACAAGACTAGCTTTGAAGCAAAAGGAAGAAAGAGCAAGAACTGAAAGAAGTCAGAAGTAGAGTGCCTCTGGTTTATTTTTTAACAAAGGAAAGACTTGACCATATCTATCATATAAGAACAAAGAAATACCCTTTATAGAGACAGAGAAACTAAAGACAAGGAAAAGTAGAGGAAGCCGTGAACTTTTTAGCCATTAATCGGTGGTCATTAGGCTTAAATCAGTTGATGATGTTCAGTTATAAACAGCATAGAAAACATAATTATTTGCAAACACCAAATCTTGTTCTTTCCAGATTTTCTTGGATATTACTGCCAGATTAACCTACCATTTAGTCCTCTTACTATCCTGTCTAAACCAAGAGGAGTAAGCATCGACTGAGTACCATGCTCGGTTCTTCCCCCGTCATCATCTAATTTACGCATCCTAACAAACCATTGGGTAGGTACTGTTAGCCCCTTTTACAGTGGAAGAAATTGACTCAGAGAGGTGAAATAACACAGCAGAATTTGAACATTTTTCATTTTGTTTTGTTTGTTTTTGTCTTTGAGTTTAAAGTTATAACTTTCTTTCCTTGCCCTGCTGTGACTTCTTATCTCCTAGTGTATTGGTAAAACTAGAACTTCTATATCCTGGCCTAATTTTCTTTTTAGCATCCTTTTCTTCTTTTTCTGTACTAAAGTTTTTGTTTGTACAGTTGTTGAATGAATAGTTTGTTAGATTTTGCTCCTGTTTTATAGAAGATGAATAGAAAATGTAAAGCCAGATGGGCCATCCCGGAACCAGTATTGTCACTGGTACACTTGTTAATATTGATACAAGATAGAATTTATTAGAAATATGGGAAGCAGTGAACTTTTAGCCTTTAATCCGTGGCCATTAGACTTGAACTAGTTGATGTTCAGTTAGAAAGGAAACAAAAGTTAAGAACATGTATAAAGTATTGGAAATCTATTATCAAAGATTATACATAAAATATAGTTGAACATTCTATATTTTTAGCTCTCCAAGAAGCCTATTGTTTGTGTTTTATACATGATTTTGAAGCATTCTCAGAGATGTCCTGGGTAACTGCCTGTTTATGTATATATGTATGTGTCTGTGTAAATATATATGTACATATGTATGTGCAAACATACACAGAATTTATGTACTATTATTGAGTCCTTATTTATCTTCGCGCTAATATGAGTCTCTCTGATGTTTAATATATACATATATCTTTGCTTCCCTTAGTAGGAAAACTGATCTAAAAGACTATAATAAATGTAGAAGTATCCAAAAGGTTTGTTCTTCCTTAAACAGGATAGGCCCACTGCTGCCTTTGGGGCCTTGGGCCTGGCTTTTCCTCTCTGTCTGGGAAGCTTTCACTTAGATATTCCTATATTGCCCCCTTTTAGCCCCTTAAAGTCTTTGTTTAAATTTCACCTTTTCAGTGAGGCCTTTCCCAATGACCCTATTTGAAATCGTAAACCTTTCTTCTCACCCATCATGTTAGCTATACCCATTCCATTGCTTTGATTGTTTTCCCGTAAGGTATACCACTTAAATACTAAGTATTTTACTTATTATGTTGATTCCCCTTCTTCCTCTCACTAAAATACAAGTTTTATGACGGCAGATATAACGTTCAGAGTCACTTTCCCAAGTTCTTCCCTCTCTGTGTCTTCAGTACTTTCAGCTTTGCAGTGGCTTCCCTTTTCAGTCCTCCAGCCACAATGCAGGGCCTTTACTTGAGTCACAGCCTCACTCTGCTGTGACTTCCAGGGACTGCCCGCAGCCAGAGCCAAGCAGCAGGAGGACAGAGAGAGAATATGGAAATGGTGCTTCTCTCCAACGTCTTAGGACCAGATTCTTTGCTTGTTGAGGAAGGTCCCCTCTTCTCATGGTTTGGGGCTCCTATCAGTTCTCAATGCCACTGTCAATGCAACTACTAGAGGATTGCTTAGGTGCTAGTTGCAATAGATGAAGAAAAGAAAAAAAAAAATTAGGCAATTTCCCCTACCCTCTCTAAGTATTAAAGGTCCTTTTCCTGCTCCATGAACCTAGAGAGCTTTTCCTGGAGAAGCTCTCCTGCCTTCTTCTGCCTCAGGGCCTATTTTTAGGTTTGTTTAATATAGTGGATAGCTGAGAAAAACAAAAAAGGTAATCTCATCACTGGTTCAATGGTCTTCCTCCTCAGTTCACTTGCTATTATTTATTTTTCAGAGTCCTCAAATAACTGCTTCATGCTTTCTGTTCAGGTTTTCAGTGGGAGAGACAGGGTGGAATGTGCTTACTCCATGTTATCTGGAACAGGATCTTCCACTTTGGTTTTGATTTGATCTGTGAGCAAAGAATTCTCTTAATTTTTTTAGTACTTTGCTCTTTATCTGTGTTTACTTTCACTTTCTCACTCCTACTTTTTGGGTTTCCTTAATTTCTTTTGGGACATACAGTTTTTACTTTTTTCAGGAGTAGGACCATCACTTCTACTGAATATAAAGTATTCATTTCTGCTTTTAACTTATTTATTCTTCATTTATGCTTTCTTTAGATATTTCTTTTTTATCTTTAGTAGAATAATTTATTCATTTATTTTCTTTCTTTTGGTTTAACAATATATTAGCAGTGTCATATTATTTTAACTCTACTGAATATTTTTTAGTTTTCTTGAATTTTGGATTTTTAATTTGTATCTTACTAAAGTGTTGTTTTGTAGTCTGTTTTTTCATGAGTTTCATTTTCTCTTGCTGTTTTGCCAATTTTTGAGGTTTTCTTTGTCACCTAATACGTGGTTAAGTTTTTGTGTTTCATGAGCACTTGAACAGAGGCTTTCAATATAAACAAGATGTGGAATTTTACCAATATGTACTTAATTGTACTAATTATATTCTGTAGTGATTTTA